TATATATATATATATATATATATATATATATATATATATATATAGGATCTTTCCGTTAATTCACCCCAAATAATGTAAAGTTACTCATCACAAATCTCAATTCACCCCCCACCCCGAAATTTTAAATGAAACTCTTTTGAAATTTGAAAATAAAGATTTCTTTAGCTTACCTCGTAAAAATTACAACCCTCCGAATGAAAAATTATAAAAAAGTCAGGAAGTTGTTCACATTTCGTAAGTGTGGATAATATTCGAGGTATTTAAAAGGAATCTTTTCAGCTTTTAAAAAAAAAAAAAAAAAAAAAATTCTGTTTGGGGCTCGTTTATCTGGGTGAGCGCGAACGTTGACCCCATTACATTTAAAATCAACAACCTGAACTTACGTTTGAGATAGATCGCAAATGTCATATCAACCTGATTGCAAAAGAATCCTTTATATTTTGGAGAATTTCAATGATTTTTAGTAAATAAATTTTTTATTTTAATGTTGAATTAATATTTTGAGATGAATATATAACATACAAAATATATATATATATATATATATATATATATATATATATATATATATATATATATATATATATATGTAAATATATCGGTATATATATATATATAGAGACCAATTTAAATATTTAAATATATCTGAGAAGATTCCATTAAACATCTGCAGTTCAGGTCGATATAGAAAATTAGCCATCCAGCATTTCGAGAAAATTCTGAGCGACATTTACGCGTTACGGAATTAATTTTAATAAAATATTTTTCCATCCATTAACGATATGAGATATGATTAATTACATACACAAAGTACGCATATGAATAAGAACACATTCCTGATTTAAATGTTTCTTCTACACACACACGTCAGGCACACATATATATATACATATGTATGTATATATGTGTCATGTGTGTTTTTACATTATAGTGCGTGTGTGTTTAAAAAAAAAAGTAGATTAACCATATCGGCAAATACCATTGGGAAAGGGGTATGAATCTATCCTTCTATCCAAGTTATATTTTCCTCTTTGAAACAGACTGGACCCTATATATTTTGGTTGGTAATTAAGTGTAGAAGGATTTTGGTTTTTCACTTTTGTTTTAGTTCTTCGCCACTATAATCAAATTATATGTTTTGGTAGTCTGATCAGTTCCAGAACTGCCCATATTTGGATTCATACGTTTTGAAACAACGAGAGTATAAAATTTATATATTATATATATATTGTATGTGTGTGTGTTTTGTGTGTGTATTGTGTGTGTGTGAGTCATTGTGTAAATGAACATTGAAGTCCAAAACAGAGGCGATAGCCAATTTCATGCTAAATAGTCGTCATGTATTGTGTTTCGCATGAAACGGACGGTCAACTAAAATTTGATTTTAATGTCACTTTTATATTTACATACGCTCTATTCCTGATATCGAGCACTTTAACCGATAAATATATCACACTTTAAAATTATATTTTACTCTTTTTTTATATATATATATATATATATATATATATATATATATATATATATATATATATAAGTCAACATTCAGAGGCAACAGGACTGTCGCCTCTTAGTGTTGACTTCAATGTTCAATTTTACATTTATATTTACATACGCTCTATCTCTGATATTGTTTTTTTTTATTTCATAAATACAGCATACCTTAAAACTATTTTTCTTCGTATATATATATATATATATATATATATATATATATATATATATATATATATATAAAGAATAGCCAAAGCCAGCACAGCATTCGGTAAACTTGAACATAGGTCATGGAACAGCAAAGGCGTGTCTCTCAGAGTAAAGATCGACATATACAGATCAGTCGTTCTCTCAACCCTTCTCTATAGGGCTGAAACTTGGACTCTGTACTGCAAGCACATAAATCTTGACGCCTTTCAGATGCGCTGTCTTCGTCCCATATGTATTATAAAATGAAAGGGTCAAGAATAGTGCAATACTGATGAAATGTAACGACAACCCAGGCATTTTAACAAAGATACATCTTAGGTGGGCTGGTCATGCCGTGAGAATAGATGAGCATAGGCTTCCCAAAAAGGTATTGTATGGGCGACTAGCAAACTCCAAGCGTTCAATTACACGTCCACTCTCACGCTACAAAGAAAAATTGAAAGATAACTTGAAACGTTTCAACTTTGATCTAAAAACCTGGGATGTCCAAGCATCAAACCAAAAGGAATGGCGTAAGACATCTTTCATTAAAGGGTTTTGAAGGCAGTAGACTGGAGCACCTTGATCAGTTTCGTCTAGCTCTGAATCAGAGACGCCATCAAAATCCTGCTTTAACAAATTTCATCTGTCAGTGTAGCACTGTCGCCCGCAGCAAGGCCGGGTTAGTATCAGACTTAGGAGAGCACAAATGTCTTTCCTTTACCTGATTTTTGCCACAATCGCCCCTGCTAGCAGGCATAAGTGTAAAACGAAAGACACCATCCACTGCTGATCCTCATTTATCGTTCACGATAGGAGAGTCTGCTGTATAAAAAGAGGTGAAACACTGTTTACTACCACACACTACTGTGGTTTCGACCGCGAGATCTCATCAGGTGGGTGGGCAATATATATATATATATATATATATATATATATATATATATATGAAGAAATATAGTTTTAAATTGTGCTATATTTATGGGATAAAGTGCTCAATATCAGAGATAGAGAGTATGAAAATATAAATATAAAAATAAACATTGAAGTCAGCACTCAGAGGCGACAGGCTGTTTCATGCTAGACGCACTCGTTAGGCGGCCTGACGATTGCGCCTAGTGTTGATTTCAATGTTCACTGATTTATATTTAAGTATCGCTTTTTATATATTGTATTTTGTATATAGCTGTGTATATATATTTTATATTTTACATTGAGACTTGTATTTTCATAGCATCTTTATTATTTGTTTTATTAGATGGTATATTACCTATTGCTTCAAGCATTATTTTATTGGATATCCATGTTTGACTAGAAATTCCCAGTTTTTTTTTAAACAGTGTGAATTATCTCTATCATCCTGCACTAAGACACATACATAAAGAAAATGGGTTCTCTGTCGACTCTGAGTGTTGACTTCAATGTTCACTTTGATATATATATATATATATATATATATATATATATATATATATATATATATATATATATATATATATATATATATATAGTCTTAAGATGTGCTATATTTATGAGATAAAGTGTTCAATATCAGAGATAGATCGTGTGTAAATATAAAAGCATGAACAGACTCGCCTCTAAGTGTTGACTTCTATCTTCACTTATATATATATATATATATATATATATATATATATATATATATATATATATATAAGGCAAATGTTATTAAAGACAAGAAACTTTTTGTATCGATTATTTTTATTGATCGATTTTCCAAATTAAGATTAATCTTTCTCGGATAAGGTGGAAATTCTATCAGAAATTGTTCATGTTCATTTTCGGTAGAAATGAAGAAATATAGTCCAAGCTTTCGACTTTCTGTTACTCTGGTGATGATTTAAGGGCACCTGATGATAGCCACAACATTCATCTTGCTTATCGATATTTATTGATCATAGAACAGAATGTCACATTAGGAGGGGTTTAAATAAAAAAAAGACATCGCTGAACCAATTTTACAAACGATTATCATTAATCTTGTGATTAAAGATCAGAATTCGACATAATTTTTTACCTGGATTCAAACGCCGATCACTGATACCAATAAAAAAAATGTAATTGCAGCGGACATAATATCTTGCCGACGTATGGGAAGATAAATATGGTTTGGTTTGGTTTGTTTTACGGCACATCAACCTCAACGGGCTATTTAATGCCGACAAGACTTTTATTGCTGGTAACGTTGTTTTTTTCTTTCAAAAATGTATTGCTGACAATTTTTTTTCCTTCCAAAATATATTGCTGGTAATTTTTTCTTCAAAGATTTAATGCTAGTAATATTTTTTTCTTCAAAAATATATTGTTGGTAATAATATATTGCTGGTAGTAATTATTGACAAAAATGTATTGCTGGCAATATTTTTTTCCTTCAAAAATGAATTGCTGGTAATATTTTTCCTCAAAAATTTATTGCTGGTATTAAACCTATTTTTACACTTTCATAATGTTTTCAGCAAAGTTTGGGCGTTAACTATTTGCCCGTAGTTGGGACCCTAACAGGTGCTACCACTCCGGGTTAGGGTGGACCTGGGAACAACAGCAACTAAGAGGTGGTTCAACGCTCCTCAAAACCTCCTGATCTGAGGCCTTGATGTCGGATGTAGTTTATCGTCTTATCCAGGACGCGGATGTAGTTTATCGTCTTACCCAGGACGTGGATGTAGTTTATCGTCTTAGCCAGCACGAAATATAAACATGTCGAATTTATTTGCTTCTTTACATACAATCAAGTAAATATGGCAATATATGTGTGTCAGGACAGATTTTTAATATTTTGACGTTTAATAAAATCTAATTCTGTTGATTAGCATGTCTCCTTGCCTGTTTAGATCTGCCAGTCTCGTAGGAGTGTGTATATATAAAATTGCGTGTGTTTGTGCATGTGCAGACAATCTTAAATAAAGATGGGTCGATTATACATGCTCGATAGCGCGTAATAAAATCGTTTTCTTTCGAGCGTAACATCTTGCATATCAATGAGGACGTATTTGAATGCAATTCGGACAATTTCTAATCAACGTACTAAAATTTTATTAGTTAAGGTGAGACGAAAAAGAAGAAAGGGTGGAGGAGAAGAATGTAAAAAGAAGAAGAAAAAGAAGTAGAAGGAGAAGGAAAAGACGTTAAGAAGAAAATGACAAAGAAGATAAAAAGAAGAAAAAGAAGTTAAGAAGAAGTAAATAACGACGGTAAGGAGAAAAAGAAGGTAAAAAGCAAAAAATTAAGAAGAAGGAGAAAGAATAGACGTTTAAGAAGAAAAGGAAAAAGAAAGTAAAATGAAGAAGAAAAAGAAGTTAAGAAGAAGAAAAATAAAGACGAAAAGGAGAAAAAAGAAAAAGAAAGTAAAAAGAAGTTAAAATGAATGAGAAGGAAAAGACGTTAAGAAGTAAAAGAAAAAGAAAGGAAAACAAAAAGAAAAAGAAGTTAAGCCGACGAAAACGACGATAGGGAGAAAAATCAAAAGAAGGTAGAAAGAAGAAGAAAAAGAAGTTAAGAAGAATCAAAAAGGAAAGACTGGAAGGAGAAAAAGAAGGTAAAAAGAAGAAAAATAATAAGGCAAGAAGAAGAAAAAGAAAGGAGAAAGAAGACGACAAAGAAGTTAAAAGTAAGAAGTAGAAAATGACGATAAGAAGAAAGAGAATAACGTAGAAAGAATAAAAAAGTAAAAAGAAGAAAAAGTTAAGAAGATGATAAAGAATGTAAGAAGAAATCGAAGGCCGTAAAAACAACAAAAAAAGGAAGAAGAAAAAGTAGAAGACAAGAGGAAATACGAGAAAAGAAGAAAAAGTAGAAGACAAGAGGAAATACGAGAAAAGAAGAAAAAGTAGAAGACAAGAGGAAATACGAGAAAAGAAGAAAAAGTAGAAGACAAGAGGAAATACGAGAAAAGAAGAAAAAGTAGAAGACAAGAGGAAATACGAGAAAAGAAGAAAAAGTAGAAAGACGTGGAAGAAAAGAGAGCGAAGAGGTTTGAGGAAGGTGAATAAAAAGATAAGGAAGGTGAATAGAAAAAGAGGAGGTAAAAAGGAAACAGCAACGACAAAGAAACAAAGAAGAAAAAGAAAGTAAGAGAGGATAAAAAGTAGAGAAAAAATGAAGAGAACACGACAAACAATGAAGAAAACGAAAGAAAGAAAAAAGAAAGAAAGTAAGAGAAGAGAAAAAGAGAAAAGGAAAAAAGAAAAGGAAAATAAAAAGAAAGAAACAAACAAACAAAGAAAAAGAAGCAAAGCACAAGAAGACAGAAAAAGAAAAAGAAAGTAAAGAAAGGAGAAAAAGAAAGAAATAAGGAAGAAAGAGAAAGAAGAAAATAAATAAAGAAAGAAGACAAACGAAAGAACGAAAAAGAAAGAATGAAAAGAAAGACAGAAGAAGAAAAATAAAAGAAGAAAGAATATGAAATTGAAGAAATAGAAAGGTGATAGAAAAGACGATGATGAAAACCATGTCTAAATAGAGAGAGAGAGAGAAAGAGAGAGAGAGAGAGAAATTAAAGAATGAATGAAATAAAAGTAAACGTATTAGTGAAAAGGAAAAGAGAAATATAAGGTTAAAAGAAAAAAGAAAAAAGAAGAAAAAGAAGCTAAGAAGAAGAAAAGGAAGGTAGAAAAGGAAAATGAAGTCAAGAAGAAGGAAAAGAAGTTAAGAAAAAACAAGAAAAAGAAGTTAAAAAGAAGAAGCAAAAGTAGAAGGTAAGGAGAAGAAAAAGACGGTAAGAATAAAAAGGTAAAAAGAAGAAAAGAAGAAAAAGGCGAGAAGAAAATGAAAGAGAAACAATAGAAAAAGATGAAATACTTGAGAAGAAAAAGAAGAAAAGAAAATGTAGTGGCGAACAAAAGAAAAAAAAAAAGAAAAGAAAGAAATTGAAATGAAGCAGAAAGATATTGGAGTGCCTACTTAAATATTCTTCCGCTGATTTGTGCGTCTCATTTGGCATCAGCCAATCAAAAACCGCGGCTTTACTGTCATTCTTCGATGAAAGATATATCTCGTAAGAAGAGCAAATAAAATCTTCAACTATGTTCAACGAACAGTTGAAAATAAACGTAAAGAAATACATTTTATAAGTTTAGCTTGAAAAAAAAAAGTAAAGCAAACGGATACTATTAAATTTTCTTGATTTCCTTAAAACAAAATTTACAATCATAAGGGTTTAAGAAAGGCAGACATATATAAAAAGTCACTTTATATACACAGAGATAGCTACCGACATTAGTCTGCTCGTTTCTGGGACAATTTCAATGCCTATCAAGCCCATCAAATGCTTAACGGAAATCACATTTTGTCTCGTTAATGGAGGTTTTGTGGAAATAATTTTTCTCTGATCATATCATGGCGAAAAAATATCAAAATAGACGTTTTCAAAATTGTCTTATATTCACTATGTCAGTTAAATATATAACATATATAATGTGTACGTATGTATAATGTGTATATAATAATGTCTGGCTGTCCGAATCTGAATATACCTGTCTACTAGGGCGGCAAGCTAATCCCTGCTGAAGACGCCAACTCAGACACATTTGCGTTTGTTAAACACCCCTAGTGACAAGCTGTGGTTGATGCTCCAACTATGTTGAACAGACTTTAGTTACATTTTCTGGGCGAAAGCGCGTGATGCACAGTCTGAACAATGACGCTCAAACCCTCGGCTATCAAATAGCTCCGTCTACCCAATTTCACTCTCAAGGCTTCGGCCAACCCGTGGTATGGTTTTCAGGCACTTTCTTAAGGTGCCGCAAACTGGGATCGCATATTATGCAGTTACCTTTCTGAAAAATCGACCACGGCGAG